GTCGGCAGGATTTAAGAGGCCAAAAGTTAAGTCAATATGGATGTATGGAAAATTTTAGCTCCAGATTTGGAGCAAACACTAGTTTCAACAGGAATTGCACTTCCAGGAACCTACAGCATCCCACCCCGTGCTCAAAACACTTCATATTTTATTCATTATTTAGAAAAAGAGTACTTCACCACCCCTAAAAATAAGAGACGCACCAATTTAACAACAGTGTCATTAGAAAACAAACGATTCCGGGAAGAACAAAATGAGAATACATGAACAAACAACTTCAACGCTATGCTCTACGGTCGATGACCAAAGCTGCTGAGAAAACAATACAATCCTACCCTTCAAGCAGCAGCCTGACCAAAAAGCCACTTGCGGATCTGCAATGAGAGGAAACACACTAAGTTGAGAAAAGGGAGAGAGGGTGGAAAATATTTTAATTCAAGGATAAAAAATCAAGCAAATGAGAAATGGAGGAAGTATATGACCAAATTACAAAACCTTAAATATTCCACTCTGCATAAAGCAGCTGACAACACTATCCATAAAATGCACTCTGCACCATCACACATACACACTGACAAAAAATAAGACCGATACACACACACACACAAGCATGCAATCTATGGACTCTGCACATGCAATTGCATCTTCTAACTCCTCTTGAAAAATTAAATGCATAACCATGCGAAACAAGGTAGAAATTAATCTAAATGCATCTTAAAAACTATCAAACGCACCTCTGGAAGTTTTTTACGGAATGCAACATCCAACCGTGCATCCAAAGTGTTCTCACACACAATTTTGCCATCTCGAGATGCCAACACTACACCTCCAGAGCTGCAAAATGAAAAATATAAAAAATGAGTATTAACATTCCATTATTGTTCTTTTTCATCTTTCTGGTATGGGGAAGGAGTGAATCAAGGAGAGCTGCTAAGATTATAAAACAGCACAATCCAATAAAAAATCCTGATGTAAATAAGTTATATATTACAACTATTTCATACAAATAGTATAATCATACTAGTCAACACTTAGTTACAAACTTAAGCCGATCACTTCATAACACCAAAAAGGCCAACCTTCCCCACTGATAAACTATAAGGAGGAAATGGGAAGGTTGGTAAAAAAAAATCAATAATTCCTGCCAAAGCATTGCATAACTGCTAACATGTAATCTTGCACTTTCATAGAATTAATAATGTTATACCAGAAAGGACCGTGAGCATTATGATGAGAAGGAGCAGGGGGGAGATGGACATTGTCAATGAATATCTCGGGTGGATGAACATTCGCTTTAGAAGCATATTCCTCCTTTGTGGAATCCAGGACAGACTCCACCAAGTGCACATCCTCTTTGCGGCAACGTAGTAAGACAGCAGGCTCCTTCAGTCTGATCAAACTCTGCAATAAAACAACATTACTTTTAAAATCCAACTGTACATAAAAATCATTAAAATAAAAAACTCCAAACATTTTATTTAATTTTGCAACTTCCCGAAATTTTCAAGACTGATCTTGCTATACACTGACCTGAACAATTAGATCTTTCAAAAGCTTTTTGTACACATGGTGATCACGATTCACATTCAGAAGGTACTTGGATGCGGATTCTTTCATAGCATTAACCACATCATCTTGAGCCTGAAGGACCTTGATCCTAGATGCATTAAGCTGCATGGAATATTCACTGCAACCAAAAAAAAAAAAAAATTAAAGCTTAATCTTATTCACAAAAGAACAGGTATATTCATAATAATTCCTACGTGCCAATTCTCGTTAAAACAATCTAAAGCGACTTTGCTTTTGCATCAATTATCATCGTGACAATCAAACTTATACAATGTTTTAAAGTTCACCCAAATCACATTATAGTTTTAGATAACAAACAAAACCGGTGCCATCTTCAAATATGACTACGTTTCAATTAATTAAAATTAAGTGCCAAATTTTGCTTATATTTAAGTAGAAATGCTAATATCAGTTTGACTTCAACTTAATATCCAATAAACTACGATAAATCAATTGAACTAAAAACTGAAATTTACGGCACAAAAAAGGGAAAATAAATTAAATTTAAAACTTTTCAATTTACATTTTCTTTCGAATTTCAACTTGCTTCTCCTTCTTCTCGTATTCTTGCCTGATCTTCTTCTTCTCCGCCTCCACTAATTGGAGCTTCTCGATGTTGAATTCCTAAAATACCCATCCTTTAACCATCAATTCACCGGAATATCTAAGACTCACAAAAATTTCAAGCCCAAAAAGGGAAAAAGTGAATAAGTGAATGGAGATTGAAGTACCTCTTCAGCGGAAACTGAGATCTCGTTAGACTTTTCCTCTGCTTCTTGGCGGATGAATCTCACCATCTGCTGGATCTGCTTGGATACATCTGCGTCGTTCATTTTCACGGGTATCTTGATTCGATTTTTGATAATCTGATCAGAGAAGAGTGTAGAAGAATAGGTTTTTTTTTTTTTTTAGCCGATTTCGATCGAAGGAAGAAAAAAAAATTGAGACGAGTTGTGAAGAGGGATAAAAAATCAGGTCCCATTTGTTTATTCTTTTGGGCTACTTTGTAATTATCCTCATAATGACGGGGACATCCTGATCGTCAGATTTTTGGGAATTTCAAATTAACAACCGTCTGATTTTGATAATTTTAGTGAATATATTAGTGGTCAATTGAATTTGTTCAATTATACACTAGAATAAATTTTAGTGAGAACCTTTTTATTATTTTGGGAAGTTAGTGAGTTGATTGTGAACATTAACAAAATTAATCATACATTATGGTAATTTTTTAGGGAAAATTTATGGTTAATTGAATTTTTATATGAATTTTTTTTTGGCCAATGAATTTTTATATGAAGTTTATAAGTAAAATATTTGGATATTTATTTTTCAATCCATTAATTTACATTCTTCATCTTGTGGGCAATGCTAGGATAAACACTAATTCAATATTCATTGTTTTCAATCCAACCAAATTATTTTTTTACAAAACAAAGCTTGAAAAGAAGAGTGAAAATTATAAATATTAAAATTTAAAATTTTAATATATTAAATATTATTTTTTAAAATTAATTATGTAAATCAATTAAATTAAATTGAATTCAATTCAACTAAATTTTCTTACATAATCCGTTGTACACTATTATGTGAAAAACATTTGTCACATATTTAAAATTCAATAATTAATTTGCTCATATTTTGATGTGATTGATGTGATTTGTTGATTAAATATTAAAATTTTAATTTTAATATTTAATTTTCATTCTATAATAAATTCAAATAAAAAACTTTAATATCTAATTTAAGATATAATTATTACTAAACTATTACCAAATTCAATTATATACACAAAGTAATATTTTTCACTCAATGCATTAAAAATTATGAATAAAATTATCAATTATTACATTTAACAACATTATTACTATAAAATAATAATTTAAATAATCTTAAACCGTGGTTTAAAAACACTCCTTAATAAAACCCTTATCAAATTCCCCTTTTTTTTTTTGTTAAAGCTTCAATTTTTAAAATATTTATTTTTATTTGAAATAGTGTCAGCTTTTTTTTTTTTGGTTAAAGATTGTGACCAATTAGTGAACATACATGACCATGAAGACATGTAGTCATCCTCTCTTACCCTAAACTTACATACTACAGAGAGAGAGAGAGAGAGAGAGAGAGAGAGAGCAAAGCCAATGGGTGCCCAGGCATGTGGCAAGCAAGTAAAATGACGAGGAGTTAAACGTAGAGTAAACTTGACTATCGGTCGGATCGATCCAAGTTTAGTGGGTTATTCAAAAGCTCTCCTTAAAAGTTTGCTCGACAAAGATTAAAAGTATTTCTGGCTTAAGTTGGATAGAATTTGTGTCAGATCATGTATATAGTATTAACTGTGTATATATTTATTTAGATTTGACGTAAGATTTTGAAGCTCAAATTTTTTTAAAATTTAATTTAAATTAAAAAAAAACTCTAAACTCAAAATTTAAGCTTAATTTATATAAAAAAATTTTAAAAATAAAAATTTTAAAATAATATATATTTATATAATTATAATATTTTAATTATATATTTTATTTAGATATAATCGAAACAAGACTTAAATTTTTTTTATCTAAAACTCAGTTTAAAATTTAAATAAATTTAAAACTTATATTTAAATTTAATTTTTTTTATCTAAATTATCTTTAAACTTAATAGACTTTTAGGCCTAAATAGGTAATCCAACTTTTTAAAAAAATCTAGTGAGAATAAAAAAACTCAATTTTATAAAAAATATTAATATATATTTTATTATTTTTAAATATAAATTAAAATATAATTTTAGAATCAATTTAAATTAAAACTCTAAATTAATATTTATGATTTGATTTAAATCGAATTAAACTTACGAATCAAACGGATAATTTCATTCGTGAATAAGTATAAAATCAATATAAATTATGATAAGTATTTTAAATATGCATTTTGAATTTTGTTAAAGCAAACCATTATATAAATATATTATCATGAAATCAAATATTTCAATGCATGTTAGGAATATTTTATGTTCATTTGAGTTTCATATAATTTTAACTAAATTAAGTTTCTGATTGCAAGTTTTGAAAATTTATTAGTATGATTATGCTCAATAGAAGAACTTGATGATATAAACAAGGTTTCCTTCTTCAGTTTTGTTGATCAATTAAGTTTCCCTATGCTTTGCATTTTATAATTGATCATTTTTTTTTTCTAAACTTTGTCTATTTTGAAGAAAATTTATTGATTTAAGTAAAATAAAACAGATATTTTTAAAAAATTATTACTACTAAAAACAAAAACAAAAAAGTATATAATTTTGTACAAGAATATGAGAAAGATCCAGAGTCGGTGATGATGCCACGTGGCTTTGGAAACTAGCTATGACTTTGACAGCCCAAACAATGTCGGGTTGCATGATAAAAGCAGACTAATCCACAAAGTTAATCCTGTAACCGTTAATCAGACGGAGAACCAATAATTTTCGATTTTAATATTTATTAATTAATTAGCCTTTGTAAAAGATAAAAAGACAGAGAAACCAGAAAACAAAACGTAAAACAAACGTAACCTACCTTGAACTCATCGGGTGGAACGTCTTATTCCTCGAACCTACACAGTAAAAAAAGCACACTTCAAAAGCCGATTCAAACTCGAGGCTTTTTCTAATCGTCAACCTCGTTTGATCTCACCAGATCTGCTTCGTAATTTAAAAAAAAAAAGAAAAGGGTTTGCCATTTAATCTTGTTTATTTACCGAGGATTGTAGAAAACGAATAAGGGAAAATGCATAGCCGGGGATCGAGTAACCGGCCGTCTAACTCTGGTGGCCCTGCTTTTTATTCTCGAAGTTCCGCTTTGGTTCTCGCCATGTTCGCTACCATGGCTACGATTTACGTTGCGGGCCGGTTAGTTCTCGTTCTTTTTCAGTTTTTATTTGTGGGTTTATTGAAAATTTTAATTTGAAGGCTTTTTTTTTTTTTGGAGTTTAAATGTAGCATGTGGCAGGACGCAGAGATCAGAGTATATTTAGTTCAACAACTTGATAGGAGAACTGGTCAGGTGATTTTATTTTCTCGTTTTCTTGATCTCAACGCCTTTTAAATTTTTTCCTTGGGTTTGGCCTGAAAATTTAGTTCATTTGGTTTTTGGCAGCACCTAGACTTGTTTCTTTGCAACATTTTGTTCAAAGACTTTTCACATTAATAAGGGTTTGAACTTTGAAGATGATCTACATTTTCATTGCAGTTGTATTCTCTATCAAACTTGATACTTTAGCTTAAAATTGATTTTTGGGACCTGTTTTCCGTGATGTTGCTTTCATAATGTTCATGTTCAGGAGTTGGAAGATGATCTCTTTTTTGGACAAATCAATTAGATTTCATTGACATTTAATTGTGAAACTCTTTTCAGGGTCATTCTGCTATATCTGTTGATGATACGTTAAAAATTATAGCCTGCAGGTAATTTTTTTAGTTTTGTGTTTCTGTACATTAGATGTGTCTTAATATTCTGCATATCAAGTCTAATTTGATAAAACATGACATTCCAGGGAACAACAGAAAAAATTATCAGCCCTTGAGATGGATCTAGCAGATGCTAAGCAGGAAGGTTTTGTTTCAAAGGAGCACTTGGAGAATGATGGTACTCGATCTAAGAAAAGGCTTTTAGCTGTTATAGGAATCATCACAACATTTGGACGAAAGAAAAATAGAGATGCAATTCGAAAAGCATGGATGCAATCAGGTAATGCTTCCTTTATCTTGACAAGTTTTATGGGTGTTATAATGATGATTGAAAATAATGAACCACGTCAGTATGGTAGGCTCCAAATGGTTTTTATTTATTCAATCTTCTTGCATGTGATAGCAAGCAATATATATATATATATATATATATGTATAGGTTGGATGGCATTAGAACACATGAAATAGAATGCAGATGAATGCTTTATGATGCCAGAGTTTCAATCAGGCACATAGGAGAGTGTTGTCTTCCAAAAGCTAATATTAAGTCACATGCAAACTTATTAACTGCTAATTTATTCATGCAATGGAGTTATCAACTCTGTTTGTTTAGCTGTAATTATAAGGCTGCAATGAGGCATTACTACCTATATCCATGGTAAGTTAAAAACCAAGATTTGCTTTAGTTTAACTAAAAGACCAAATTACATATGAATGCTATTCTGTTGTAAGTTCAGATGGCTTGACATCAACAGCATCAAATGTGACACAAAGATTGAAATTTGAGCAGATGAGAATAAATGTAATATTAATGTATCTCGACTCAAATGAAACTTGAAATGATTTTTTCCTTCTCAAATATAGTTGATTCATATTCGCATTCCAATTTCTTTCTCCCTCCATTAAATTATGCATATATTTTGTAAATATCCTGCTACCTAATTGTCCATTTCCCGGGGTAGTTAGAAGTTAAACTGAAAATATAATATGTGCAGGTGCAGCTTTGAAAAAAGTGGAAGAAGAGAAGGGAATCGTTGTGCGATTTGTTATAGGAAGAAGGTCTCTAATTGATGATCCTTGCTTATAAAGTATTTCTTTCTCCATTCTGTTTATTGAAATTTAAATTACTTGCAGTGCTAATCGTGGAGATAGTTTGGACAGCGAGATCAACAATGAAAACAGTCAGACCAATGACTTCATTATTCTGGTATGTTGACCTGCTATTTGAAGCTATTTCTCACATATCTAGTGAGGTTGTTACTTTGAATACTGGAATTTTAAGCTTATATAAAATTCTTCTGACTGGAATTGTGGCCATTAGAAGTTAGTGCTGCAGTTATTCGTCATTCTAACTTTTAGCGTATATATGCATACTTGTATCCTGCAAAGCTTCTGTGATTTGATTCACATGTTATGTATGTTATTGCTGGTGAATCTAAATGTTCCAAATAATTAGATCTTGTAGTGGCAAATGTTAATTTTCCTCTTTGTGTCTCAACAGGATCATGTGGAGGCGCCTGAGGAACGCTCAAAGAAGATAAAATCTTTCTTTGTTCATGCTGTAGAGATCTGGGATGCAGAGTTTTATGTTAAGGTCAATGATGATGTTTATGTTAATATTGGTATGCAATCCTTATTAGTTCATTTACAATGTGTTTGGATTGAGGGGAGAGGAAGGAAAGGAAAGTAAAGTAAAGGAATGTAAAGGAAACAAAACCCCCCTTCCCTTGTTTGGAAAAATTTTTAATTTAAAGAAAGGGAAAGAAGTGGAAACCAAATAACCTTTGGTTTCCCTTGCAAACCTAATTTTTTTAATACCTCAATTTGGAGGAAAAGCTATGGAAAGGAAAGTTGAAATTTTTTTTTTATAAAAGGACTATTATGTCCATCTTTTTATTAATATTAAAAACCTAATAAAAAAAACCTAAGTAGATCACAATCATCTTGTCATTTTTTTAAAGCCATTTCTTTTTTCAAGTAAGTTTCACATATCTTTTCCAATATAAAATTTTTTATAATTTTTTGGTGATTTGATTTTGATGAATGGTTGAATATGAATAGATATATTTTTTGGGTTTAAGAGATGTCAGATTAGCTCAAAATCCATCAATGCATATTTGTAAAACATCTTCCTGTTTCACCTGATTAAAAACCATTGATATAGCAGTAATTGTGAGGTCGGACAAGATAGCAAATATATCATAGTCCAAAAATGTTCTAAAATCACAGGCAATGAAAGGTTAAAATTGAAAAAAATTATTATAATGAATCATTTCTTTTCTTTTTTCACTCTTTATCAAAACAATGGTTGTTAGAATTCTTTTCTTTTTTTTTCATTTATTAATTTTAATTATCCAAACAAGGGTTACATGTATTCTTTCTTTTCCTTTAAAATTTTTTCCTTTCCTTTCCTTTCCTTTATTTATATTTACCCAAACATAGCGTTAGGTAGTGTATTAGGTACCACCATGTGAATATATTGATATGATTTCTTAATATGGAAATTTGCTTTCTCCCTCTTTCTCTAGAATTTTCTCTTGTAATATTTACTAGTATCAATTTCAAAAGGCCTTAAATCCCAAAATAATTGTTCAGAGTTGTATCTAGTCATAAATACGAAGAATTGTTTAAGAAAATATGACAGTTATTGATGCTCAGAAAAAAAGTGTTGTGGTGCAAGAGTTGTCTTACTTGGTTCATTCAGAATACATATTGCTATGGAACTAAATAATTAGTTGCAGCCTTTACTGATATAGCGATATTTATAGTTAGTCCTTTGATTCTTTTACAGATGCCCTAGGAGCAGCACTTTCTACTCATTTGGATAAGCCTCGTGTTTATATGGGGTGTATGAAATCAGGAGAAGTTTTCTCTGAACCGTGAGTATACTGTGATTGTTTTCATTTGATGATAACTTATGTATGGAGATTGTGATCACCTCCTTCCGGACATTCCTTTCCATAGATTTATGAGCCCTTATATTTATGTGTTATACATTTTATAGGACTCACAAATGGTATGAACCAGACTGGTGGAAATTTGGCGATGCAAAATCGTGAGTAACAAAGAATCTTGTTTTTTTTTCCTCATATACTTCATGGAATTTAAGTAATGATTTAATAGTCTTGTTTAAATACACACATGTTCAAACTCCTAGTTTTTTATAAACTATAAATACAATGACAATTGGGCAAATGCTCAGTGTTTAGTTCTTGAAAGTCATTATATAATCTTCATGTATTTTGTATTCTAGTGTTTTTGCAGCTTCTTGTTCCTGATATCATAAGTTGGTGTATATTTTCATTTGCATCTTAGAATTCTTGTGTGTGGTGCAGATATTTTCGGCATGCCTCAGGTGAAATATATGCCATTTCACGAGCTTTAGCACAGTTTATCTCAATTAATAGGTAAGTCTTAACACCTTTCACCTTGGCTTTTAGATTGCTCTGAGTTGACCTTAAATTTTCCTCTATGCAGGTCTATTCTACGGATATATGCCCATGATGATGTGAGTGCTGGGTCATGGTTTATTGGGCTTGATGTGAAACATGTTAATGAGGGAAAGTTTTGCTGTTCCACCTGGTCTACAGGTCCGTCCTCCTCTCCTTTTTGCATATACACAAAGATGCAGGCATGCTTGCACTTACATGTGTCCACACATGTATCATGCAGAAGCAAGCCACACATCTTTTAAATAAATCATATGGTGCTAATGTGATTGATTGGTTAAGATGAGGTGAAAGTATTGTACACGTGCATCCATCCCTTCTTAACATTGTCCTCTTTGCATGTTACATACTTGACTCTTTATATTTGGCATATGATGCCATCAAATTGATTGATAATGTTCTGTCGAAGTACCTAGTATTGTTATATCTTTTTCATATTTGAACTAGATGAACTTTCTATTAAACTTGGAGTCAGGTACATCATATTCATAAAATTTTTTCCCTTGTGTGTCAGGTTCGATATGCGCAGCTGTCTGATCTGACAAACCAGGTTTATATAGCAATGCCATTCGAATCCTGCATCATCATTTATGTTGTTCTGCTACCAACCCAGAGCTCAAACATTACCCCCCAGACAATGATCTCTGTTGTGCCTGGAGTGTGGAATTGCCGAATTGTTGACATAAAGATTTCAGTCAGAATTGATTCTTTTGATTGAATTCTGGTTCTTCCGAGTTCCAACAGCTGCAGATGCAGGCATCATATTCTTAACTCTTAAAGGCACAAGAATTTTTCACGTCGCTGATGTATTATAGCTCTGTATATTCCAAATTCATTCTTATATTTGATTGATAAATTTTCCAATATTTCAGATGAAATGAAGGATTTTTTTCAGCACTATTTCATGACTCAGCTTTCAGCATCCACCATTCACTCTTCACCACTCAGTTTGCAGTCTCCAAAATGATTTAGCTGGTGGAATCTCTTTAAAAGCAAAGGTGTTAAAATAAGAGTTTAATTAAAGAATCAGAACTTTGACAAACTTGCAAGTTTTGCTTCTGGATTGTGGTTGGTTTGAGCAAAATGAGAGGGATACGAATTATGATGACTACTAGATCAGGCTGATTTCATATGTGCCCAAGCTTTTAAATCAAATCCACTAAAATGGGAAATTTGCAGGCCAAATATTGATGATTTGAAAGGATGATTTTGCCTCTATAAACAATGGTTCTCTCTCAGTTCCTTCATTCTTGATTTTGCCTCTTTAAAAAAATTTCACTTTTTTGGCTCTAATGTCTTTTATTATATCCATACATTTCTACTACCTAATCAAAATTTGGATTCTATCGTTAAATCAAGGATAGGCTGTCCTCAGCAGTAGTACAGCCAAAAAGAGGGGGAAAAAAAACTAAGAAAATAATATTAAATAAATCAAATTCACATGGTAACCACAGGGTAAAGTTCTGTGTTTCTTTTTAACTTTATATATATATATATATATATATATACATATTTATTTCTTCAGTGGAGTGGAGAAAGGCAGAAGGGATAAGAAAAAGTGAAATGGAAGGAAAAAAAAAAAAAAAGACAAGCTGTGATAAAAAAAGAATTTATATAAAATAAAATATTATGCAACACCTCATTTGTCCTCCTTTAGGGTATAGATATGTTCATTAAATTCAAAATTTGCCATGTACTTTCTCCTCCACATTTCAATTAGTCAAGCACAAATCTACACTTTTCCATCTTGGCTTGGAATTCTAAAATTTGGGAACAGCTGGTCCATAATTGTCATAGGATAGTGGAAAGCAATGGCAATCTTGATTTATTTGTTTTGAAAGAGAAGATTATTAGGTTCACACATAAATTTAATTTGTCATAAAACATGAGAATTTGGGTTTGGTTGGATCGAAACAAAATGAAGTTGAACGAAATCAAGAGGTAACATAATGTCATGTGCAGTCATAAATTGAAGTAATAATAATAGTACATTGCCTTGAGTGCAAGCTTCCTGAGTCAGTGATTACTCACTGCTAAGAGAAAACCTCAATAAAATCACAAAGGATCATTCATGGTTAATATTATGATTGATGTTTCGTCCAGGTGGGGGATAGTGTCCCAAGGAGAATAATACCAAAAAGAATCACAAAAATCCCAAATCAAAGTCACAACTTAGCACAATACCAATCCTGCCAAGTGAAGCAATGACTGTAATTGAGAAACAAAAGACACTCACTCTTCCCATCCCTATGCATAATAACATTATAAAAGGAGTTAAACCATAACAATGGTGGCCCCCCTTTTGGTGGGGTTTGCCCCTGCTAGCTTTTGCCTCTCTGTACTCTTTGCTTTACCTCTCTCCCCCTCTTTTTTAATCTCTATAACAACGACAATAACAACTCTAAAAAAGCCCCCATCCATTGCCCCCAACACCAGGTTTGTTTATTTCATTTTCTCCCAATCAAATCCCAATTCCCCTTCTATCCAATAGCAACTTATTTGGAAAGAAAGAAGGTAAAAAGGAAGTCCTGAGCGGCTGAACCTTCCCAAGGCCAAAAACGCAAAACAAAACAGAACCGACGATAATTTGTTCTTTCTCTCTCTTCTGTTGCATTAAATGCCCCATTCAGACAGACTCAGGTCTTTTACTTGAATGGTATTCCTACTTAACTGGCCAGCTCTAATTTTTTTTCTCGTATCCACCGCCATTTTTAATGGTACAATCGCTGATGCCAATGCTGCATGCTAAAAGACAATAAAACACAGGCAAAAATATAAAACTATAGAGGGGACGCATTCAATACCATTTCATGGCAACAGCAACAACCACAACAACATCAATTTCTACAAAACCATCATCTGCTCAGCTTAAAGTCCAAGTCCAACCCATCAAGCCCAAACGCCGCAAGTGTAAAGAAACCACCATATCTTCCTCTGCTTCCACGGCTGCTGCTCCTGCTGCTACCACTGCCACTATAAACAACTACTCAGAGTCGGATTTTTCTGGTGTTTTGGCCCGGAAAGTTGACCGACCCACCATTGTTTCCCCTGATAGCTCTTGGTGCTGTCCTGCTTCCAAACCCCTTCCAACTCCCCCACCTCCCCCTCCTTCTCCTCCTCCGCTTCCTCCGCAAGCCCGCCTTGTTACGCATAAGGGTTTAACGGATTCTTTACCGGGTTTCAAGATCCGATATTCTCCAGGCAGTGTGTCACCCGTCATGGACTTTACGGGCGGGATAACGCTCTCCAATGGTCACTCTCCTTCGAGTTTCACCAAGTTCAACTCTGCCCTCACGGCGGGTCTTTTAAACCCGATGTCCCCGCCGCCTCCAATGGACAAGATACGATCCAGCCCGACCCTTTTCGAAATGATGGCCAACGAGCCCGATATTCACCCAAGAACCCAAACCCAGAACCAAGTTCAAACCCAAGTACCCATTTCAGCTCCAAGACAGAATCAACCCCCGCCTGTCATTGATAAGCAGGCATTGGCCATGCAACGAATTTCGGATCTTTTGTCGACCCGGAGCCCTGGGAACCAGTTTAACGATCCGGGTTCGAGTGATATAAAGCTGACTTTGAGTTCCAAAGATGGGATTAGTGTGTCAATGAACGTGCATAGGCAAATACTGCTGGCTCACAGTAGGTTTTTTGCAGTAAAGTTATCTGATCGATGGGCAAAGCAGCAACGGAATGGATCAGGTGGGCCGTACATTGTGGAAATAGCAGACTGTGATGACGTGGAGGTTTACATAGAGACCTTGAGATTGATGTATTGTAAAGATTTGAGGAAGAAGTTAATGAGGGAGGATGTTTCTAAGGTTCTTGGAATTTTGAAGGTGAAGTTTTAGTTTTTTTTTTTTTTTTTAATTTTAATTTTCTTAATGTTTTTAAATATTTATGATTTTTTGGTTACTTGGATACTTGAGAATTGGCATGATAATTAGTGGTAACAGTTTCAATTATCCATTGAAACTGAGTTTGTGACATAGATTGAAAGAAGTTGAAAAAGTGTGTTTTGCATTCTTTTGTTTCATAGCAACTAAAGCAAGGATTAGGGCTTTGAGTATTTTTAAAGTGTTGAAGTGGTTGTTATTCTGGTGTTTTTGCTTTGTCAGGTTTCAGCTGCAATTGGATTTGATGCTGGGGTTCTGTCTTGTTTGGAGTACTTGGAAGCCGCTCCTTGGGCTGAGGATGAAGAAGAGAAGGTGGCTGCTTTATTGGCAGAGCTCCGCCTTGAAAATGTTGGAGCTGGGGAAGTTTTGAAGAGGGTTTCTGTTGAAGTTACTAATGGAACTGATGAGGGTGGCGATAATGAAGAAGTGCTTCTCAAGCTTTTGCATGTGGTTCTTGAAGGCAAAGATGAGAAGGCAAGGCGTGAAATGAAAGAATTGGTCTCCAAGATGCTTCATGAGAATTCATCTCAGAATGATCTTCGGAAAGAGTCCTTGTATTTAGCCTGCGATGGCTGTCTGGAACTGCTTCAACAGCATTTTCTCCGAGCAGCTTCATCTGATTTGAAGGATGTGAGTCAGATTGCAAGACAAGCAGATAATTTGCACTGGATTTTGGACATTTTGATTGATAGGCAGATTGCTGAGGATTTTCTAAAATCATGGGCTTCTCAATCTCAATTATCTGATGCTCACTCTAAAGTCCCAGCTGTCCATAGGTATGAGGTCAGCAGAGTTACTGCACGGCTATTTGTGGGAATTGGAAAGGGGCAGTTATTGGCATCAAAGGAAGTGAGGTTCCTGCTTTTACAAACATGGTTGGTGCCATTTTATGATGATTTTAGGTGGATGAGGAGGGCATCAAAAGGCCTTGATAAACATTTAATTGAGGATGGTCTTAGTAACACAATTCTCACTTTGCCTCTGGCTTGGCAACAGGAAATTTTGCTTGCTTGGTTTGATAGATTCTTGAACTCTGGTGAAGATTGTCCTAACATTCGAAGAGGTTTTGAAGTTTGGTGGAGGAGGGCTTTCTGGCGACGCAGTAATGAACAAGAACTACCAAGGCAATTACAAGTTACAACTGCAACCGATGAGAACCAATAAAGTTCCTATTTCCATGGTGCAGAATCGGTACTTTAATGGTTCTGTTTCTTGTTCTGTTTTCGGAATGCTTTGGTCTTCATTCTACACTGATGGCTTATTCATCTTCTTCCTCTCTAAACCGGGCTCACAATTGTTTGTGGAGGAATTGAGTTCTCATAGGTTGATAATGTGTTTGTTTAACATAAATGTAACCAGGTTTAGTCTGGAAGATCACAACATCCTTTCGGTGAAACTTTCTTATATTGAAATTGAAAATAAACCATATAGAAAGCAGTTTTTATGTTATCTCTTTCACCGAGGTATCTGTTTGGTTTCTCTTTGTATTGGAGGGTCATATAGATATGAACTAGGAAACTAGAATCAACCAAAAGAAGACAATTTTTTTAGCCAGGTTCGTGGTACATGCCTTGGATCGGAGAGGATTTACTTTTCTAATTGCATCATCAAGGTAGAGAAACTTCAAAATCTTATTGGATGGTAGTTAATGTGGATATGGTTTCACTGTTAATTTGTTAGTTATAATAGCCAGTTCTCCCAATATAGGGGACAATGAGGAAATTATGCAACTGTATGTAATAGATCAAGTAGAATAACATAGTGTAATTTGACAGATAGGACATTCAATTTCAACAAAATGCTTTCAGCAGGCATGTTGTCGAGATATACATGCTGTCGGTTGGCAATTTTTCACAGTTCATAACAGTAGAAATGTTGATAGAATTGGGGAATGGTTTTGGGGTTTTTTTTTTTTCCCCCTTTTGTTAACCAAATGAGGAATGTGAAAGCCATTTAGCAACTAAATGAAACGCAGAATGTCTCACTTGGAATATTTAGGGTGTGGAACCGAAACTCAGTACTGGCTAGGACTTGTATAATTCGGGTGATGATTGAGAGCCTTGTGTTCTCCTTCAATCCTTGTCCCATTAAATGAACATTTATTATTTCAACGAATGCTGTATAATTCTTATCCTGATTTTGTCCCTGTATAGATTTCTAATCAGTCAAGATACTGAAATCGGCCTTTCCATTACTTCATGTGGCTTATTTTAACAGTGTCATTTTCAAAGCTGCTGGTTGTGGAACCAAAGATCTATGCCACCTTTTGTTCAAATTTTTGTAGAGCTTCAGAGACAAGTAGGCCTTTTTGCTCTCGTAATTAAACATTAAAGAATGAGGCTTTTAATTTTAGCCAGATACACTAGCCAAGATGGTGTATTCATATGGCTTTCTGATCTTAGACTAATGTGAAAATCTTGGTTGAAGAATGCAGTGCATCTTCTAAGATGACTACTTTTGGTGGCTTGCTGACACTTATTTAAGAGGTGAAAGCTGAAACGTGAGCCCAACTCTTTTATCATTATTCTAGGGAAAAAAATGATGCTGGGGAATGACCTATTTAATGGTTTTCCTGTGGGAATAACCTAGGAAATGGTTTGGAATAACTTCTCTTGTGGGAACAATATTAATGTTCTTTCCTTCTTTGTCGAGGATTTTGGTTTGAACTTACTAGAAGACATTGGCTTTTAGATTCCGAAACCTGGTAGATGCTGTTGAAAAATATATATTTCATGTGATTCTAAGGGATCTTTAATTGCCTTTGAAGAGTTAACTTCACACAGTTTTCTGAGCAAGCGTATATGCAAATGTAAGACTGTGACCCATCCTTTTTCAGCCCTTTGGCCGTTTGTCTATGAAAGCACTTGTCTCTACTGGGGAGGGGACAGATTGAGAAAAGGCTTATCATTTATCTGCTCTAAAAATGCCACATCCATTCTCATTTGAAGCAAATGGAAATCAAAAGAAGTGGAAAAGTTATCGTCTGGGACGTGCTCCACTTCCATCATTTCATAACTGCAGCTCTTCTCTCGATCCAGTGAGAACCAGCTTTCCAAGATCTTGTTTCTCAAACAAAAGTTTGTCAGCGCAATTATTGATTAAAAACAAGTTTTTTTGAATCTAATATTATTAATCCAATAATTCTATTTTCTTTATATCTTGCGGTGTGTCTTCACCTATGACAGCTAGTTAACTTGAAAAGGAAATTAGAAGGTGTATCGAAGGAGGCTCCAAAGACTCTTCAGCACCATTTTGGGCCCTATCACATATACTATACGCATAATGCTGTTTTCCTCTTTGTTAATTGAAAATTGTTCATAATTCAAATAATAGACCAAACAGATACACCCAGGATAACTATTTGTTAACCATGAGTCCCAATTTTCAATGGACAACCACAGTTTTATTCTAAATTGCTACTCATTTTAGGGACAAATCAGCATGTAAATTTTCTCTTTTGTTGATTCAATGTCCTTCCTGCCAAGGCCTTTTGCTACATTGTCCTAAGAATAATGGCTATAGCACGCTGGCATTGCCTCTCATTTCATCAAAATCCCTGCAAGAATGACTAATATAACATTACAATCATCCCTTGGCAGAATCATGATGTTCATGAAGCAAAACCCTCCGCAGGCTTAAGGTCTTTTGCTCAGATTGTCTGGCCTTTAGTCTGTCTAGTAATAATCTTCAGCTGCTTCCCGTTGTATGGTGAAAATTTGAATGCTAATAATTATATGTCTTCCCTTTAGTCATGTTGTGCAGCCCTCATCTTCAAAGTGAGTGAAGAAAGAATTTACCACTGGACAGTCATAATTCAGTTCTCCTGGTCTTGCAGTCTTTTGCCTAAATTATCATAAACCAAGGAACTTCGAAGATCAGCATTTCAAGGTTAAGGACCCCACACTTTCTATCTTCTGCTGAAAAGTTTAACATCATTATAACTTTAGAAACACCAACATTTGAGAGTGAGACATCCTCTTAGGACTTACCATTCTTGATCAATCAGCATTTCATCTGTCAATCCAAACTTTCTTAGCTCTTCTTCACTGTGATGCATTAACAAGCTGTATCTGAAGATTTTAGAAAGTGCCAAAAAGTCAGATTGTTTCCCAACTCAACAATGGCTTGAATTTTTTTTTTTCAATTTCGACCAAAAAACAGACGATTACCTTCCACCATAACCTTTTTCCATGACAATTAAGTTACCATTGCCCATGTTATTGAGTCTTTCAAATTGTTCCACAGTCCATTTATACCACCTCATCAGAAACACACGCAAAGCTAGGCCATGTGACACAATAATCACGTTCATGTTTGGGCTTCGCTCGCCTGGTGGCTGAAAGCGTCCAATGTCAATATCTGCCCTAAGTGTTTCTCTGAATCCTGTTTCATTAATACCATCAGTTACACAAAATTCCTTTTTGGTTTAAGTTAGCAGATCACTTTATCAATGAACAAGGGTATTAGTATTACCTGTAATTCTGTCATAAACATCTGCTGCAGATTCTCCATTGGGAAAGCGGTAAAAGAAACGACCATAACGCAGACGAAGAGCTTTGTCAACTCTCATTTTCTCTCTATCCTGAAAATTCCCTTTCCACGAAAGACATAATTAAACAGGACACATTTTGTTAAAAAGAAAAATACAAAGGGACAAACTCTATCCTGCTCGATTGATATGCCAAATAAACTTGGAGCTTCAAACAAAAATGAAATAGCATACAAACTTTAATCTTAAGCAGGTTAATAGTCTCGAATTAACGTTCTTTTGCCTTTTTTTTTTTCCTATTAAAAGCCAAGTTTCTTCGAAGATGCAATAAAGAAATTAATCTGATCTGCTAAAGATTTTCTTCTTAAGTAGTTGAGTTCCAAAGGAGGACAGTAGAAATGATTGAATAGTACAAGTGAATTAAAAACAATTCAAACATCCCAGGGCGGAGTGGAAGTGCTTAAAAATTTCCATCATTTATACGTAATGTTATTCTCTCAATGCTTCACGTGCCATTAGTGGTTGCAACTTTATCTGATATATATGGATGTGTGGTGCAAATGAAGAGGGGACCCTTCAATTCTTTCTTTTGATATGTTTGAATAAGTCCAACAGTAGAAACAAAACGAAATAATGCAATGTATCGAAGTTAGGTGCATACCTTACTCCACAATGTTCATGGTGAAAATGAGTGAGTAAATATTTATGGCAGTTATCTAGGGGAGAAATCAGAGTTGAGACTATCAGAGAATATATAGAGAAGAGAGTAACCTACCAAAGTCCTGCTCGCGGATACGAGGCTCTTCTCTCATGCCAGCAATTCTCGAACGCTCAAATACACGACCCAAGTGCTGAAGTGTTTCAAGTGTTCGTTTATATGGTGACACATAGAAATAGACCTTCCAATCAGCAGCTCCATCTTTCTGAATCATTTCCTTTATTCTCCAACCACATTCCTCAGCCTCAGCCTTGCCTTTCTCGGTCAACGAAATCTTTGGATCAGCAACTCTTGTGTAGACACTCTCATCCACGTTCCCTTCACTCTGTCCATGCCTTACCAAGATTATCCGACGAGGCCTAGGAGGAGGTGATGATGTCACCGGGCGTGTTAAAAGACCCTTTTCAGGAAAACTAGTGGCATGTCCATTACTAGAGATCTGAATGGCCTCTTTTGGAGTCCCAAGGCATTGAATAGGATTGAAACTAGGTAGTTTTCTTTGCGAACGATGGAGATATGATGCTGGGGATGGTGCGAAAGTAAGAGTGGCCATACTTACCAATATGGAGGAGAATTATAGCTTTTTCAAACGCGATTTAAGTGTTATAAAGTTGTGGTCACAAACTCACAATCTAATTTAGGTGAACTTGGCAAATTTGATCAGCTCGTTTGGCAAAGAGGACCATAGAAATTTATTGGAAACGTTGATGAAAAAAACGGTGGCCTAGCCAGGCAGCTTGGAGTGTACAATTCAAAACTTGTCCAGGCTCCTGGACGGAGCTCCTGTATTCTTCCATCATTTTCAGAGGATATGCCATTCATATTCAAGGCTTTAACTCCACGTGCCCGCATGCTGCTACCATTTCCATCTCGTGGCTATAAATATGTTCGGTACAATTAGGAAGAGACTTTTCTAGTCTCTTATGTAAATTTTAGTGATGAATTGTATGTATCACTGAGAGAGAAAAGAAAAATCAAATGCAATGAATCAATCAAATGAGTCGAGGTGCCTTCCCTTTGGTAAATTTTTATTTTCATTCGCAAGGCGGCTGGATCAATTGGTTTGTGAATATTCAACATCCGAATCAAGTTGTAGTGCCTTTCTTCCGCAAAAAAATTGAAAATTTCCTTTATAAACCCTAATATTCTAACATTAGTAAGATTGCTTGGCTTACCATTTTTAATGGTTATTGATGGTAGGAGCGAGCAGCATTTTGTTTAAAGTGTGGGTGCAAATTTCTTTCTGATTTTCACTAGAAATTGGCCCCGCCAGGTAGGGGTTGATTTTTTTTTTTTAATATATTTATTATTATTTTAATATAAAAATAAAAAAACTTAATTCACTCTAAATTTTATAAAAAAATTTAAAAATTAAATATAATATTTAATATGTTGTGATTATTATTTTTATTCTTGACTTTTCGTGTTATATTAGGAGCATTATAATTTTTAATTATTGGATCAATTGTATGATAGTTTCAATTTATCGCATATTACAAATTTTAAAAAAAAATAAAAAAATACAAATAGTAAAAATATATGAATTTTAATAAAAATTTTTATGTATTTTTATATTTTTACTTATTAATATATTTTATAGATTTTAATTTTTTATTTATTATAAAAAATAAACAAAATCTTTATGATTTGATTTTTTTAATCAATTGGGTATTTCAATTGGGAATTGCCCTTAATTGTTATTATTATTATTATTATTATTATTATTATTATTAATTCATTGGTGATTATTAATCGTTGATATTTTTATTTATTTATTTTTATATTTTTTATGAAAAATATTTATTTAAAAAATTAAATGAGAGAAAATTAAAAATCTCAAATATTTCTTTTTTTAATTTTATCTTTTCCTTTCCTATTTTTGAAACTTTTTTATAAAAAAATTCTAAGAAAATGAAAGAAAAAATTTTAAAAATCATTAATTTTCCTTTTTCTCTTTTCCCTATATTTTCTATTTTTTTTAAAACCACCCCAATACTTTAAAAAATTAAAAAAATATATGTACGACTGATTGAATGAAAAATATCATTCAATTAAATTCCAATTAATCCCAAATTTGAAAACGGGCATGAAGCGATTAACATACCCCTAAAAACATGATTTTAATAGTAAGAATATTGATTTAAAAGAAAGAAATTGGGCTTACTAATTGTTTGAGTTAGAGACGAGGTTGCAGCCCATTGGCCGACACTTGGACCCTCTCTTTAGTCGTTATTAATTGGTAAAAGTTTTTGATGGGCTCAGCTCGAAGATCGATCAACTACAAATTACAAGTTGACTCTGAAAAAATCTGTAAAGACAGTAACTCTTTCTTATAGCCCTCATTAATGCCATTGTTCAACGGTTCGCTAGTGCTTGTTTTGTTGGCTCAACGAAATCCATAAATTTTCAATAGGCAGAAAGACATGCCACAGCCACAGCCACACCCACACCCACACCCACAATTTTTGCCCTAAATTCAGATCATGTTTTTCAATCTCAAGTCATTAATGAACTTGGGTCATACATACTTTAATACTGCTCTTTTATTTTCCATACGAGATTTGGGATCTATATATGAACAATTTTGTTTCTATATATCCTGTAAACCTCTGAAGAATGATACCACAAGACTTGATATATACACTTGGTTTTGAGTCGGCCTAGCTGTCTCATGGTTAGAAGGAAACTGCATGGAAAGTGTTGAATTGTAGCCTTCTGGGTTGTGATGAACCTCACTAGGAAACCATTGTTGGATATTAAGTTATCTTTTCCAAACAGTTTTCATCCATTTTTTTGTCATCATCCAACATGCCATAGGCTGCCATGTGTTTAAATCACATTGGCTTAAAGGTATATCTTTACCCCTTCCATAGATAATAAAAAGAATAGAGGAAAACATTTAAAAACTCCAATTTGATTACTTAAAGGTCAAGGGAATATGTCCACAGAGATGATTAAGAAACACTTTAAGAAGATAAACTATGAAGGAATGATCATTATCTAAGATTAAACAAGGTTTCTGACAAACGAATGTCAATGACTTTGAGGATTAATGGTTAATTAGGGGACCCTTGTGAAAATGATCGACCGCTGCAATTACCTATGGCCTAAAGCCACCTCATGGGAATCATAATCTCCTCAGCTTTGGGTTTATGGATTCTCTGAGAGTAGTAGCTTAAGGGTAATTACTCTCTAGGTTGACCTCAAAAGCAAGTTCTTTTAAGATTCTTGTGAATCAATGAACCGACTATTCAGTTGGAATTTCGGAAATGTGCAGCAGGAATCAGAGTTAAAAATACATGGCAGAGTCGTGTAGATTTTATGTTTGAGAAAACATCAAGGAAAGAAATTTCCGGAGGATAATGAAAGTAGCACAAAACAATCTGTCATCAACCATATGTAAAGTACCAATATATATACTTGTTATCAGCTGTCTTTGTTGTAGTGCTTCGCTGAAAATTCTAACCATACAAAGTAACAATGATTTTTTCAAACAGGCATTTGAATAGTCTCTTGCAGCATAATTATACCATGAACGATCAAATTGTAGTCTTAAGCAGCTTGAGCTATCAGCAGATGTCCTTTCCTCCAGATACCGCTATATATCGGCCATAACTAATTGGATTAATTCCCAACAATTTAGATTTAGATTATAACTATTTAAAGATATGTATTTACCAATTAAAAAAAAAAGGAATTCGGGTTTTCTCATGAAAAATGAATTAATCGTTGAGAAAGCTCAACTTGGCCTCATGGGATGAGGCTTAAAGTCGTATCATAATGGAAACCCTAGAAAAACACAATAAAACCAAACTAACCTTTACAAAGCTACCGTATAATAATGGAAGTGAATGAATGCTTAGATGTAAAGCCTTATTTGGTCCCCGGTGTGAATTAAAGTACCATGGAAATTGGGGGTAATTTGTTTTTCTTGCTGGAACCGACCATACATGTTCTCTTTCTCTCTCTTTTATTTTTGTCATTTAGTTCTTCCTATTTTAAGCCACCAAGACCCGTCTTCAAGCAGTTTTCTTATTAGTAAATTAAGATTATATATATTAACACTAATTAGATAGAAAAAAATAATAATAGAGTAGCTTTCAATTGATTTGTCTCTTATTGAAAAGGGTTTGTTAATCATTAACCAATGAAAATGCTGCTAGCCTTTTTTGAAAAAACTTCTTGTGATTGACAATGCAAGAGATTATTTTTTATATTAAGCATACGTGCAAGCCTAGGGTTCATATTTGAAAAAAAAAATGTGAAAGAAAGTGTCAGGAAACTAGTTAATTGATCTTTATTCAAAGGTCCCAACCTGGGGCAAAAAATTTAAGGCCAATACATGTTATTTGTTTTTTCTGCTCTTGTCATTTGCATTGACTTTAGTCATTTCGGTGACATTTTTCGCGTGGGTGAAGGAGAAGATGATCAATCGTCCAACATACTTACAGAATAATACACTATAATTTTGATTCATTAATTAAATAACACTAATTACATGGCTAAATCTCCCTCTTTGGATTATTTGATTTATTTACATTATTATGATTGTCTATAATGAAGTCATGATAGAAAAGATACTCATCATTATCATGAGAAAAATTGATATGGAATTTTGATTAATCAAAAAGCAAAATTTATCAGACTATTACATGATGCTGTTTCAATCTTTTGCCATTTTTCTTTCAGGCACCTATTTTCTGCAATTCTGATGATGAAGTTTGATATTCCTTTGGGTGTTGTAATTAACATATATAAATAGCAAAGAGACAATTTATTACTCAAGAATACATCATATCCTGATGTTCTCTCTAGTAAACAAGTTGAGATTTTTTAGAAGTTCCCTTCGATCATTTCAAAACCTAAAACATGGCCACTCGTTTGTGAAACTTGACAAAAAGGAAAACAAAAATCAGTGTGGTTGTTGAGATTCATGACATATTATTCCAAAAACCATGTCTCCCTCAAATGGCCCCTCCATTTGGAAAAATTGGTCTTACCATTAGAATTTTTCAAGGTCCTCTACACCATTAATTCTATCTTGTCTCATTATTAAATTAATAGTTTGAATGTTAATATCTTTGGTAGTTATGGAGATCATGAAACTAGTAAGAACGATAAACATGTACAATTTATAAGCCATATGAACATAAATAATTAATTTACTGATTATTCAAACTCTCAAGCCGATTAAAAGTCATGAGAACATACTAGCTCGCTTTGCTAATTGGTTGGAAATTGGATTAGAAATCAACGCACATGCTTGTTTAATTTAAAAGAGAAAAAAAATATGTGAATGAAATCCAATATCATATGAATTTGAATTAATTTGGTCTCAAATTCCACCATTTTGACATTGGAGGACTGGGAAAAAAAAAGCAACTACCCCGGCCAATTAAACAGTTATAAAGGACACAATTTAAATCACAAGTTTGGAATTAGTTGAAGAACATGTCAATCAAGTGGTCTGATTTAATTTGCAAGGGATGCTGCAAGTGGTGAACCACGAATTATTTTTTGTTTCTGTTTGAATCTTGTCTTCATCAGTTCATTAGAGTCAAGTTGCACATTGACTTAGATGTTTGGAAATGAGAGATGATGATCAGATTGTACCGTGTACGTACAAGCCACAACAATTAATTTAATTATAGCACTATTAGTTAATATTGTGTGATTAATTCTCATCCACAACACGAAT